AAAAACTTGAAATGAGAAAGTTGATTTGGCTAATGTATAGGGAAATGAAAACAAAGTTAGATAAATCAAATTTTTATTATTGTAAAAAATAATTCCATTCTTGTTTTAACTGTGAAATAATGTGAGGATACAATTAATAAAGGAAATTAAACATTTTCATGGCAACTGCTCTGACAAGCTTCCCCCCCTAGTGCCCCGACCACATGAATTTAAGCATGCTACTAGATTGGCATCTAGGTCCCACCCGTTTTCTGTTGAAATAACTAAATGCTACTCCAACAGTTTCTTTTCTCACACTACCTGACAGTGGAACTCCCTTCCATTTACTTGCTTCCTTGAAAACTACAATCTTCAAAAATTTAAATGCAATGTCAATCACCATCTTCTGTCCCCTTGAACCCCATTCATCTTTTACCCTTTCCTCAATCCCATCACCACAATACTCATTCTTTTCTCTCACTTGCACTCTCTGTAACCCTCTGCATACTAATGGCATTCCCGCCTTGCTTGAGGTGAAATGATTAAAAAAAAAACTCATTGTGGGAAGTGAAAGAAAAAATACATTGCAAGGCAGCAGATTCTGTAAATTATATTGAAATCAGTGCATAATTGGCAGTATGGGTTCTTCAACACATAGGTTAAGAGTAGAATAGCCAAAAGAAATGATATACATACACATGGAATTTTGGCAAACTGGTAATCTTCATTTGCTTAATTTCTAAACGGTTAAAATAAATATTGGTTAACAGATTTCCTACTCAATAATTTTGCTTGAACTAGCTGCAGACCCACTATCAAACATGGCTGGTTTTTATTATGATATAGACAACAATTTGGTGTAGTGATCATAAAAATCTTCTAAGCTGGATGAATAATAATATCAATTCAGAAAAAATACAAGATAGATTTGATGATAATTTGACAAAAACAGTACTCTTTTCATGAAGCAATAATTTCCCATTTCATCCAGCAAAAAGAAAAAAAAAGAATGATTATATAGAACATTAAGAGATTGTTGTTATCAACAAATTAGCCTCTTAGCCATTTTGGATTGTGAAACTACTCTTAAAGAATTCCTGTTTTGAATATAGATTAGATACTTTACAAGAGTAAAGAGAAAATCAGATAATAATGAACACCATTAAAATCTGTTAATAACAAGTCCAAATTTTAGTATTTTTTTTAATTTGTCTGAACTTCTGGAAATGAGAAAGTATTATTGTTATAAATAAACTGATATTTTTCCCAAATCAAGATGAAAATACCAGCTCAAATAAATCAGTGTAAAAAATAATATTCTTGATCTATATTGCTGATTAAAGAATTTCAGTTATCACACATGCACCAGAGATTCTCTGTATGAGAGCTTAAGATTATACAATTTATTTAGCCATTCATTTTTTTTTTTTGTAACAAAATTACCATAAGTAAAACAACTATGTAAGTTCATTTAACACAAGTGTTGAATGACTAACATGAAAATTTACTATGCTATTAAAAAAAGTCATTTTTCATGAAAGACTTTTCGTTCATTTTAATTTTCATCAAAATCAGATTTATAGTAGGCAAAAATCTCTTAGCTTAGTAGTCTTATATTAAAAAGAAAAAAAATATTTTTATTACATTAAAAAATTAAAAAGTAGGAGTTATTTTATTTTTAGAGAACAACTTAAGCAATTTTACAGTACACTCAAATTATTAATCCGGGTTTATTTTGTTTGAGCTGGAGTTACATTAACCGACTCACAAGAAATTAAAAATTTTCACACCCCTATTTGTATGCAATAACTCATATTTTTAGGTTTTAAACTTTACTTTAATATTTTTTTTCTTTTTATGATCTTGTACACACACAATGAAAAAAAAAAAAAAGAAAAAAATAATTGTCAGATTTTTTTTTAATTTTGTAATAAAAAAAACTGAATCATTGTAGATCCAGGGTGTACTGTACGTTTAATACAGCGAATCTTATTTTCTGATGAAATTTGCAGTTGTTTTTTAAAACTTTAAACAAAAATTACTTAGCTTTCGAAGCCTAAGATAGAAATTGAAAATTTTTTATCAGCTACCACAGCAAAAATAATACCTGTTGAAACAATGTCATAAAAAAAATTCAGTTGGTTTCACTTTTGTTTTACATTTTTAAAATACAACTGAATTCTTTAAGAAACAGCTTTAAGAAATGAACAGTTTTAAAATGACAACAAAGTAGTCACTTTTGTTAAATTAAATAGCCATCCAGGAACGAAGTTAATCAAATTTCTTATATAAAAATCAAGAATTTACTCACTTTTTTTTAGTTTTATTTCATCACTACTAATTAGCAATAAGGTGATTTCCAGTTTTATAGAGCGAAAAAATAAGTTATAATAGAATTAAAATAAATAGCAACATTTATCTATTAGTTAGAACCAGTCTGTTTTTTATGTTTAGTTTAATACTAATTATTAGCTACCAATAATAAGATTTCAAAGGTAAAAGTACTATTAGAGGTGACATCTGGGCAATGTTGTAGTAAAAAGCTAAGTTCAAAGTAGGTTTAAATATCGATACATTTTATGATTTTACTTCTGTTCACACTGTGTAGTCTTTTTTTTAAGCGCTAGTCTGTCTATTATTTATTGGAAGTTTATTTTTAAAAAAAAAAAAAAAAAAAAAAAACAGTAATAAATCTATACAAATTCTAATTAACAATCATTAACTTTTGAAAATATCCATTCATTCATAAAATTAAATTATACATGTAGTGTAGTCAAATATTTTTCCAATTCTTTTTTAACGATTAATAAAACGAAAGTTGATCTTTTTAAAAACATGAATGAATGTAATAATGACAAAAAGAAAACTTCACGTATAAATTTAAATACCGTAGTTTTTTTTAGTTAAATTTTTAAAAGGTTTTGATTTTTTTTTTTTTTTTTGCACGGAGTTCATTTCTTTATTAGTTTTTTTAAAATTCAATTCTCATGAAATAATTTTAAAAAAACGAAACCTCACTGTCCATAAGCAAACTGAAAAATACTAAACCCGACACCGTATTTTGCTTATGGATCGTTAGTGTAGTAATTTTTTGTTTTAATACAGTACACACACTATGTGTCACCAAATACTAAAACTAAACAATAGTAGTGATACAATTATAAAAACTTGCTTCATTTTAAAAACTTAACATTAATTATTTTATTTTTTGTTACATGAGCAATGGTGTAAAAAAAAAAAAAAAAAAGCAATTTTAAAAATTAAGAAGAAAGAAAAACGTAAAGTAAAGATTAAGAAATTTTTCTCATCTCGCCAATAAACAAAATTCCTTTCTGTCTGGCTGAAAACATTTCCAAATAAGAATGAATGAAATTGAAAAACGATTTCAGAATTTAAGAGATGATGAAACAAATATGTATTATTTTATTATGTACATTCATTACTTGTTTTATTAGGTCACAATTACTGACCCACATGTGAATTGTAAAATGAATATATACCAGACCTTCATTGTATAATTAAAAAAATCAATCAATCACTAATCATGCGTAAAATTAATTTTTTTAAATTCAACTTTTATAAACGAATTAACCTCCAACGGAGATTAAATGTAGAAAAAATGTTCAAAAATAATTTATTTTAAAATAAACAGAAAGACAAAAAATAAAAAAGATCATTCATAAGAAATAAAAATATAAAACCTGTACACACACTACAGTAGTAGTGTATCGACATCATGAACCTTTTTTTTACGGACCCACTCCTTTTTTTTTTTTTTAAATCATGTCAAAAGTGACCAATAAAAAGTTTAAAAATTATTGGAAATGTAAAAGAAGGTGACTTGAAAATTTGGTCAAATGTAATTTTAAATTCGATTTAAAGTTGTCTATTGTAGTTTTTATGTTGCCAGTTAATAAAAAACAATGATTTTTATTTATTTTTAAAGAACTTTTTTAACTAGAACTAAAAGACTATCATCAGCCTTAATGTGTAAAAAAAAAAATGCTAAAACTATTTTTACGAGTTACAATCAGAAAGAAAGTATATTAATTACAAGGAGTTATTAATCAAATGATGAAAGAAAAGTTGTCACTTTATCATCGATGACAGAATCAACCAATAAGAAAATTGATTATTTAATCAATCAATAATAGTTTTGTTTTGTTACTTTAATTAAGAATAATAAAATGTTCAACAAAATCAAATAGAGTTCAAGAAGCAAGGAGATCAATTTATTAAAAAAAAAAAATAAAATAAAAGAAGTGGTTAAAGATTTTAAAAAAAAAAAAAAAAAAGAGTTTAATTAACATAATTTTAAATTTATTCTTTTCGTAACAGATATGTTTTATTAATATTTATTTAGAAAATTAAAATTATTTAAATTAATGATTTAAATAAATTCAAAAAAAAAAAAAAGAAGCAATATGTGGTTAACATTTTTTTTCGTGATTCAATGTTTTTTTTTTTTTTTTGTATTTCCTTTTTTGGAGTGGTCATTTTTTAATATTTACCATAAATTCTAGCATAACAATTTTTATCTAATAAAAAATAGACAACAGCTTCTTTTTTTTAATTAGTAACACTAACACAAAAGTAAATTTTCATAAAATCTGGAAAAATAAATCACTACAACAAGTTAAGTTGTTAAAAAGCAACTCGACATGAGGAGTGAGAAGATTTTTTGATCATGTGACATCATCGTCAAAAAAAAAATATGTACAAAAAACAAAAATATTAGAAATCATTTAGAAATAAATATATTTAAAAAAAATATCAATCTGATTGTAAAAACAAAAAAAAAAGGTTTTACTTCTACAATAGGAATAAAATATTTGTTTTCGTTTCTAACGCAAAAATACGCACTTTTATAATAATCAATGGGTTACCGTTAATTCAGTTGTTCATTTTTACATTTATTTGTAAGACTTTTTAACATTTTTCGTAAGAAATGTTAAAAAAAAAAAAACAACAACAAAAACCAAAAGAAATAAAAGAGAAATGAAAATGAAAGAAGAACTTACTTATAATTGTCGACATGGAATGGTTTGTACCATCCGAAGACACAGATGAAAGTAGCCAGAGAAAGGACAATCGCGTAATAGATGCCGATTTTCACATAATATCGGAAGGCCCCACTGAAGGAATAAAGGACAGGCACCACAAGAAATATCAAAAGAAATAACCAGAAAAAAATATCCCAAGTACTCATCATGTTTCTTTAAAGAATAACAAGCCACACGTCGATGAGCGGCACGAAGAATACAAACAAAACACTTTTTCTTTCTTGTCTGTTACCGTCCTAAAGGACGGAAAAAAATAATTCTTTCTTCTGTTTTCGTTAACCGTCGATGGGCAATGTCACCCACAGAGGTTTAAATAAAAATAATAACAGAGTTGCAATAATTCCTAGTTTGTACATTAGGGGTCTTGCTACTGGCTGGGAAAAAAGTGTAATCTTATGAAAGAGAAGGAAGGGAAACAAGCTCGTATAACGAAGAAGCACTACAGTCGTCGTCACTTCTTTACTCCGGAAGTACTCGGTAATTTCCGTAGATTTACCAGTGTCGACAAAAAAGTAAGTTCGACAATCATTTTTTCTCATTAATGAAATACGAGGGTTGATATTGAAATGAACTTAAAAAAAATCATATTTAATTTTTTCTGTATTCTCATTTTCCTAAGAAGAAGAGAAAAAGAATTATTAAATGAAATCATTTCATTTAATAATTCCATTGAAATGTAATTTATTCGTTATGTTGTGTAAACTTTTACAAAATTAAAAAGAAAACCTGTTCGAAAAAAAATGTTTTAGAACAAATTAATATTTTTAAAATTGTAAAAAAAATTAACTAAAAAAGTAATAAACTCAAAACAAATAACAAACTAGACTTGTGCCATTGGTGTTGGCCTTTAAATTTTTGTCCTTTTTCTCTTTCTGAAAATTATATTTTAAGTGAAGTACAAAAACAAGAGATGCCAATAAATAAATCCTACTAAAATCAGTAGATACGAAAAAACTTTGCAATTCTGTACAAAACATGCCTCCAAAATTAAAATATTGCTTTCTGGAACATGATTGGATATGACAAGTCACCTGATGTTCTCTCTATGCCATCAGAGCGATTGAACTCCAAATGACCTGGAAATAGGTCAGGGCTTGGGTCACAGTTTTTGTTCCTACCAAAAATCAGATAGAGTTTGTGAGCTGATCACCGACTCACCATAAGCCATAAAAACAGTGACTAGATTTGAAACAGAACAGTCAGGAACAGATTTACAATGACACAGTCAGTGAACCCGACCAGCGTCAGCACACATTACCATGACAACGCATCAGTCAGCGATGATCTTTCTGTGATGAAAGTAAGTTCTAGAGTCCCTCTTTTTGTTCACCATGTTTTGAAATCACTATTATCACACACAATCACTCAGCAGTCTCACACATGTTTCATTAGCGTGTGTTTCACACACACACACATATTAGCACACATATTTTTTCGAACTTTACAAACTCACTTGCAACAAAATATCTTTGAAACTTTGCAGATTCACTTGCAACAAATCACATCAATCCATTTGTCTCTTCATGGCCACATCAAAGAACATTCATTTTGAACATGTAATTATATGTATCTACTGTACAAATGTTATTGTCATATTTAACTTGGTTTTCTTCTTTATTCTACAAAAGATCATTTCTTCACGTCGTTTATAATTCTGTATTGTGGAGTAATGGATAACAACACGAATTGAGGAATCAGAGAGCCGAGTTCAAATTCCAGTCGAATCCATTACATTCACTTACATGCTAATACCTTTGGAAAAGGTATGAATCCTCTTCTTCTCCCCTCAGCTATGGGTAAATAGCAGGACAGACTGGGTTCTATAGCCTTGGATGGCAACTGGTCTACCGCAGACAGAAATGGCAACCTACTGTAGGAAAAAATCTGCCTTGTCAGTCATGGATCAAAAGATACATGATTGCCTAAGTATGTATCATGCATGGCACATAACTGACTGATTGTAATTTGTGGATATGACACTCAGATTTTATTTTTCCACCTAAAATCCAGGTAGACTTCTCTCACAAAACTATTCAATGACATTACCATAAATTTTTTTATTCAATTACTTTTTTGAAAAGGTATTCTCACAATTTCATAAAAAATTTCCGTTCATAAATTTTATTATTCAAGTACTTCAGTGCTTCTCACCATAATGTCAAGAAGAGACAGATAATGCCCAATGGTAATTTATTTATTTTATGTAGAAGATAATAATCACTCAATAAAATTGCGTTTTATGTCAGGTTCCTCGAAAATTGCCCAGTTCTACTGACTCAGACACCTGGATGTGTCTTATAATAAGACTAGCAGTAGAGCCCATCTTTGGCACTGTCAGAACCATCGCAAGGTAATTTTACGTAGTCCTGTGAAGTTTTGTTGAAATCGGTTGAAAAATGTAGGAAATCCGATCCAATATATAAACGTACAGACACACACACACACACACACACACACACACACACACACACACACACACACACACACACACACACAATCTGCGTTTTATAATAAGTAAGATGTAAATTTGGAATTATCTTTGATACTCAGACTTCAATTAATTACTGGTTTCCAGTCACAAATAACCAGAGAACTTTTCAGTGCCTTGCTTTTTTACATTAATTTAATACTCATCCAGGTAATGATTTATGACACCTTTCTCCCACATATGTTCACCCTTTTTGTATAGGTGCCTTTGAACAATGTCACCTTCACTCAGTGCAGTCAAATCACATGCACGATGATTGTAATATTTAGCCTGATTTTAAGATTTGGCTTGTGTTTTTTTGTTTTTTTTACCACAACTCAAGAGTTGCAGTCCTTAATTTCACTTGATTGCTTTTCATGAGTAGTAGTGTATGAATGGAGCAATAGGCACTAAGAATGCCTGCTTCCCATTCTTAAAGTCAAGCAGTTGCAGAAACTGGTCTGTATGGGTATCCTTATTCTTCCACATTAACCGTTTTGCACTTTTAACTCAAATCAGTTTTGCCATTTGCTTGCTAATGTCCAGAGCTTGACATGAAACATGTTGAGACCAATCTTCCGACATCAGACAATCATGTGACATTAGTGTCTTTTTAGGCTGTTCTGTCATGAACTTGCAGCAAGTCTTACATGTAGAAATGTACTCACATATGTCTGATATATCTGACCAGAAAATACATTTCCTATCATGCCTTAAGCATCAAATAATACCTATGTGTAATGAGTGAATTGCTCATTTGATATAACTCTGCACAGCTAAGAATGATTATATGGTCACCTTTAACCATGAGACAATTGTGAGCAGATATTTCATCATGTAAGTTAAAATATGGGTGTAGTGTAGCTGAAAGATTTGCTTTATAAACTGATTACCTACTTCTTGTTACTCTATGGATCTAAGGAAGCCTTTCATTGTGGATTAGGAAAAAGCTGACCATATTGACATGTTCAAATTCTGTTTGACAGCCCTTCTCATGTGTCAAATATGGTTGTGATAGCATGTCTGTGATGGGCATGTGTTTTCCCTTGACATATACTGCACTAATATATTTTGGGGGATATAATAGAATTCCTTGTAGACATTTTGGCATTTTTTCAAGAGGGTTTTTCACTATGGCTTCTAATGGTTGGTGGTCAAGATGGATGTTTGTTCTTCTACCATATGCATATTGGTGAAACTTTTCTAATAAGAATACTATTTTAAGTATTTGCTTCTCAATTTGTACATACTTCTGCTTTGTATTAGTGAGAGCTCTACTTTTATATGCCCCATTTTTATAATATTTGAAAATAATTAAAATCATTTGTTTTTTTTTGCTCACTAACCTAGTATTGGAGTTCAATTAAATAAATGAATTTGAATAAATGAATTTGTCCAAATATTTTTCATGTTCTTTGGATCATGCAGCATGATTTAATATTTTGCAATGGATGCTGGTTGAATCCCATTCCTCATTTGTAGTTTTCTTGTAAATGGTTATATGTTTTTATCATGCATACACATACTTCTGTGGGATTATGTTAACAAAAGCTACATAATCCACTTGAAACTTTACTTTCTTTTTGTTGAGCATTATGTTTACAGAGATAATTTTGTTGTCTGACTGCTCTCTCTCTCTCTCTCCTATTTCACATATAACACATATAACACATATTCAGTGCCACTAAAAGAATCTGGTAACACATGGTAAATCTTGTGTTTAGATGGAACTTCTCTTGTTCTTCCAATAGAATACTTATTCAGATATTTTAGTGCAGATTGATTCCTGCTGTCTACATTTTTGACTTCAAACCAAACATGATTCTTTTCATTTTTCATGTGACTTGCTACAAAAGTTACAGTTTATTTACTCGTGCTTATGGAATTTCTGTTTGTAAATTTGGTTTTGGTCTGTGTTTATTTTAGTCTCACTTCGGTCTCCTATAACTTTCGGCTGTGTAGCCATAGTTTCACACCTTCAGTATATGTTGATGCATTACTTGACAGTTACCATTGAATGTTGTAACATTCTTTTCCAAGCCTGTTTGCTCTCATATTCAGCACTATGCAATCATTTTAACAAAGAGTCATGTAAACATTTACAAAACTATAAGATTTGGCTAGGTTACATAGTGTAGAAATATATGAATCAATGTTCTTACCTGGTTTTTGGTCTCTCTTGTTGAAGATATACCATTCATCGGACACTTCATCAGACAGACTAAAGTCTGTCCAATGAAATGTTAGTCAAATTTGGCTATTACCATATCAAGTTATTTTACCTTTCTATTGCTATAAACTGAAATCTATTGTATGTAGAAATAGTAAAATTTGGTACTCCTGGTCATCGAGTTTGTTGGAGTTAGCTCCTCCTTAGCTAATTAGCCCTTCAACAGGGGTCTCTCTCCCCTGGCTATAAATACTCACTGACCCTTCACCTTGACCTCTTTTTCCCTCAGGCCTTTGGGCTGCCATCTTGAGGTAAATCTCTTTTTCCTCAGTCCTTCGGCCTTTACCACCTTGCAGATGGGAATGCTCACAGATACAGCGTTTCACAAATGCTGGAAACACATTAAGAACAATACACGTACGTACGAACACTCACCCCAACACACACACACATAATATTCACCACACACACTCTGTTCATGTAACTGTCCATGTAACTTGTAACCTTTCTTG